GTTACTAGATGGGAGGAGGGGCTGGAGGATTGGGTGAGAAAAATGAAGGGGTTAAGAATCACAAATGGTAATTACAAAATAGTCACGGGGATAAAAAGTACAACAGAGAATATAGTCAATAATATTGTAAAAATTATGTATAGTGTCAGATGGGTACTAGACTTGTAAGAGGAATCACTTCATTAATTATATAAATGTCTAACCACTACACTGAAACTAATATAAAATAATATTGAATGTCAACTATAATTTTAAAAAGTAGCCATGGGATATAAAGTACAGCATAGGGAATAGTCAATAATATCGTAATAGCTATTGTACAGTATCAGGTGGGTAATAGACTTATTTGGGTTATCACTTTCTGAGGTATATAAACATCTAATCACTGTTTTGTACACCTGAAACTAATAAATAAATAAAATTCATCTCTAACAACCTAGTTCCAAAGCAGTTACCAAGCACTTGTCATGTGTAACTAGGAGCTAAGGAAACAATACTCAAAGAAGACAATGTAGATTCAGAAGAGAATTTATACTTCTAATGAAGTTGAACAAGAACTACAGTACTGAACTAAGATACGTTCATAAGGTGCTTCATTATTACTGCCCATAATCCTAAGTAGTTCTAAACAGAAAACAGGCAGCACCTGACCAGAGAATGACCAACTTATGTTTAAGTAATTCTAAAGAAAAGCTTCTTCCCTTCCTTACTCCCAGCCAGTATAAAACTCTTCCCTACCAGAACCCGCTGCTCCGAAGCCCTGGTGTCCCTGTCTCACCTCAGCCCAAACCGCCACCCACCACGTTGGCTGGACAGAGAGAGGACAGGGGAAAGGAGAGGATCACACACGTGTGTGACACACACACATTCACTCTTCTCTCATGCCCAACTTGCTGCAAGTCCTCTGAATATGAACACCCAAAGGAGGAAGAGAATGGCATAGGGGCTGCCAGGCCTCCTGTCACTACAGTTACACCACCAGAAAAGGAAAAGAGACAAGGGAGGAGAAGGAAAGGGGAAAAAAGAGTGCGAAAGAGAGAAAAGCTGTGCTGCATTCTTATCCCACCCTCCCAGCTCTTACCTCCCTCAGCCTTCACAAAACAAAGGCCCTCAACTCCGCTCACCTCCGTCCACTCCTTTCCCAGGAGCATTTCCCAAGGGCCCCCTCCCCATTAAAACATACTAGTCTCTTCCCAGCTTTGCTGGAGCCAGGCCTCAGGAGTCACAGTCTAAGAAACTAGAAAATAAATACTGAATGAATATAATTCACCATTTGTTGATACTCTAACCCTTGCCTTCTAGTGAAGCTTTGCTGTAACTGCAGTCCATTTTTTAATGATAGGTTACTTTTAGAATTAGAGGTTTAGTTTATACCAAGAAGCCTAATATCAAACTACTATTCATACCTACTGGGCAATAACTCCTTTCTCTGCTGTTACTATATCTTGCCTGTCTGGCTTTACACTGAGACCCAGCAAGTGAAGCCTCTGAGTAGTCAAAATTGGTATCCCAACAATGTGAGGGCAAGCTGCTTCACTCTAGCCCATAGTTTCACATTCAGTTCTAATAAACTTAGTTGGTTTCCAAGTTCATAGCTAATCAGAAGGAATACAGTTCACAGAGAAAAGCACCCCATTCACTCACCCACCATTGGTTGAGAGCCTAAGAAATGCCAGGCCCTTGGAGATAGGCATTGACCAACACAGTGATCCCTATCCTCCCTGGCTTATGTAGAGGGGGCTCAGACAGAGTAATTTAAAATAGAAAAGACTGGGACTGGCTGGCAGCTGGCATGCGCTTTCGTGAGCTGCCGTGAGCCACCACAGAGAGCGGCTGTCCAATGGCCGGCGACCGACTGCCTCAGCCGGGAAGAGCGCAATCATCACAATACCAACATGGGCCAGTGAAGCGACGTCCTCCACAACTAGACTGAAGAACAAAAGGACAGCAACTTGTCTGTTCCCCTTCCCCGATTCCCCAATGCTGTTCCCTTTCCCAATTCTCCAATAAAATCTTAAAAAAAAAAAAAAAAGTATGCTTTCAGCTATTTCGAAACCGGGGCTAGGGTGGGCCCTGAAAGACACTCTTCCTTCTCCTTGTCAAGATCACTTAGCAAGCACCCTGATCCTTGGGGTTTACAATCCTTACTAGCTGCACACTTCAGTTGCTTTGAGCAACTTTTGTAGACTCACCTGGGCACAAACCACCTTGTGGAAAATTGATTTTTTAGCAAAGTGGAGTATATTCCAAACAAGCAACCAACAAATCAATCCACTTGAACTGGAGACTGCCAAGTTAATTTAAAACACTAATCTTGCTTTCTACAATACGTAATTCCAGTCAAAACTCAATTACACCAACCAATCTTTGAGGAATATTTTTTTAATTATATTATCAAAGGTACCTAATCTTTTCAAATATGCCAAACACAATAACCTTATGTCAAAACCTACTGACTAGGAGACACAGTTGACTGCAAATCTGACCCACAGAGGCAATAATCTGAATTTCCATCAAGGAAGCTGTAAGCACCAAATAATGGAGCAAAAGTGAACCTAGGCTTCATCTGGGCCTCAGAAGGAATAAGCAGCTCTGAACTGTCACTTTGAGAGAAACCTACATTTCTTACAATTCAAATACAATTTCCCCAAATTTAACTCCAGGACTTTTGTTAATTTGCTTAGCTTTGCTTTGCCACAAAAATTATTCATAGGCTGAAGAGTCTAGATTTGTTCCTTGCTAATGTATCTCCACTTCTTCCCATTTTATAAAGCCTGACCTACATTAAGTTAGTAGTCTGAAAGCTTCCACCTGGCCTATCTTTCTAAACACTACAGCTGTAATTGGGGGGTGGGAGGCTGAGGGTTGAGATTTGTAGTTCAGTCCTCTTGTCACACATTAGGAATTGGAGAGGAATGATCTCGTTTTTAATGATCTCCAGAGAATTTTCCATCAAGCCGCTCCCTTCACCCAGCTCCTCTATCACCACCAGGAAATTCTCCCCTTAGTCTCCTGAGCACCACCCTCAAACTCGCCCATCTACCTGTGCCGCTCCTTTCTGCTCCAGTGGAGAACATCAGCCTTGCAAAGACGTGACCCCTCAGCCTCATCATCCTCTGCTCTAAAAACCTGTGACTTCCAGTCTCACTCAGAATTAAAGGCAAAGTCCTTATAAAGACCAAGCTCGGCATCATCTAGCCAGCCTGCCACCTCCTTGACTCCCCAGCCTCATCTCCTTCTACTCTTTCCCTCACTCCCTGCTCACATCCTTATACTAATTTTCAACCTGAAACGCTCCTTCCTCTCCTTTGGAGGCTTTCTCAAATGCTACCTCCACCCCCAACTCCCCATGTAAAACTATAAACTTCCGACTTCTTTCACCCTAACAAACTTCCTATTTATTTTATTAACTATGTCCCCCAATGTAAGTTCAAGGAATGCAAGGATTTGTTTTGTTCACTGCTGTATCCCCAAGGCCTAGAACGGTGCAAGTCACCTGACAAAATGTCCAGTAAATATTTGTGAATGAAGTTGAGTCATTCACTTAAGAAATGTTTGCTGGGCACCCGGCTCGGGCCAAGTTTGTTAAAGTCAAGACAAGTGAGACACTGTCCCTGACTTGAACGCGCCATTTGGAGAACTGAACGACAAACAAAAATGTGCGATACAAGGCTGGAAAGAAACGAAAGCCACGGGCAGACATGCCAAATGCTCAGAGACCTCGGCTTCGCCTTTCTGGGGACCAGTCCAGCTTCCCACCATCGCGCAGTTCTCCAGGGACATCCTCTCAATCCCTGACAGTAACGGGGGCCCACTCGCCCTCCCCAGACCTGAGAGGTTACTGGTCCAGAGGTGCTATAATATTTCCAGCCTCTCCACGCCGGGGACAAGATTTAATGAAACAAATTTAAGGCTCTGCTTTTCGCCCTCCGCCCCCTGTCCTTTGCCCCATGGGCCACTCCCCACAGCGGCCTGGGGCTGAAAACGCTAGTACCAACGCGCCCTCTCCCCTAAGCAATCCCTACTTCCGCGGTCCCACCTGCTCCCGGCGTCCCCTTCGGCTCCTTTCTACGCGTGCGCGAATGGCCCCACGTGGGATCCGAGTAAGCTGGCCGCGCTCAGAGAATGGCCACGCCCCCTCACGTGGAGCAGGTTTCTGATTGGCTGCCCCTCGCTCGCCCGAGCGAAATTTGGGAGGCTTGTGACTGCACCTCTGACTGTGCTGCCACTCGAGTTTTGTGCTACTACTTCTTCCTTGTCGCCGCCTCCACTGGCTCACTGGTATTCTTGCAACCAACTCTGCCGGCATGTCTCAGGTATATATAACGCGTGCCCAGCCTGGCTGCGAAAGCGAAGCGGGGAGGGAGGCCGGTGCGGGAACCATGCTGCAGGCAGAGCCCAGGAAGGTCTTTCCCTTCTCGGCTCCGCTCTTTCTCCTGGATCCATGCCCAGCCCTGACTCTAAAGAGAGCCTTGTGAGCGGAACTTCCCTGTTTGGGACTCGCAACACTGCTGCCTGCCCTGTAACTGCTGGGAAGTTGCCCATCCCGTGGACTTTGCAGAAAAGCAGGGATAGGGGTCAGAGGCGAGGGTCCTAGGTAGAAAGACGGGAAGTAGAGAGTTGCATGGATTGAAGGAGCAAGGGGAACGATTCCCCGTCCGGAAGGACTGGACAGGAATAGGGGCACCATGCAGAGTGGGGAAGCAAGGAAGCAGTGGCTGAGAGCTTGGAGGTCAAGGAAAGTTGGCGCCGAGTGTCCGGCGTACGGGAAGGAGAGAGTGCGCTTGGGGAGGAGTGATTCAGAGGCTTTTCCCTCGTTCGAATGTAGACGCTGTGTAGGCGGACCCCTGGCTCCTCTCACCTCTCTCCAGTCCAGCACTGGGACAGAGGTCGGCGCTGGACGCCCCAGCCCCAGGGAAAGGGGGCGAACGAACTTGGGCCACTGACCCCGCTGTACTCGTGCCCGGTGCCCTTCTCAGCTGTTTCAAGCACGCTGTGCACCTCTATCCTCAGGTCAGGGCTTCCCCACCCTGACCCGGTAGTGGCCAGGCAGTTGGCCATGCTGCTTTTCCTCCAGAGTACACTCCCACTGCAGGCAATCTTTGCCTGCCTCCTTCACCACTGTATTTCCAGTACCTGATACCTGGTATAGTGAGAGCTCCCTATACTTAGATGCTTATCAATAAGTGAACCAATGTGCTTCCCCTCTTTGTGTTTCTGAGTGTTTCTAGCTGCCCCGTTGAGAAAAGAGGGGAGACACTTGGGGGGACGGGGGAGGTGCTGATTTTCCTCACCTGCATTGCAGGAGGAGTGCTGCCTTCCAACCCCTCCCTCCCCATTACTAAGCTCTATTCAGGCCTTTCCTCTTCCTCACATTCAGGCTGAGTTTGACAAAGCCGCTGAGGATGTTAAGCACCTCAAGACCAAGCCAGCAGATGATGAGATGCTGTTCATCTACAGCCGCTACAAACAAGCAACTGTGGGTGACATAAACACAGGTATGCTGAGATAAATTTGGGAGGTCTCCTGTTCAGAGCAGACTCAGCAGCCTTGATTGGTGCTGGAACTCTTTATCTGTGAGAACAGTCACTCAAAACCACCCAAGGTCCTACTCTTGGGTGGGGCATGGTGATGTTTCATGATGGTCCTGGGGTTTAAGCTGGGAGAAGTTCCCCAAAGATCATGTTTCTGGATGGGGTTCATAGACCTCATACCTTTCTTGGTATCTTGGTAGCTCAGGTAACAGAATTCAAATCCTGGTTTTAGAAGGACTTTACTGATTATCAAGAGCATTTCCCATCTACTTGAGAAAACACATTGTCCCTAGCTTGGGAGAGACTTGATCCAAACTCTGAGCTCAATAGTATCCTCCTGCTTACTCAGTAGTATTTTACTGCAGTAATAACATACTGCTTCCACCTCAAATGGGCAAGATCAAAGTCTTGAAGCCCTTGGCAGCCAGGCCAAGCCTAATATCAGGAGAGCAGCAGCTGGCTTCTTGGGGCAGGTCAGAGCACTTTTGCTGAAACAGTTCCTGATGACCATTTGTTCTCTGTCAAAAAATCTTGGCACAGATTTTGAGGTCATAGTTTGGACCACCTTATTCTATAATACTGCCTTTCCTGCCTTGGCTGGTTTTCATTTGCTCTGAAGTCCCTGAAACTTGTGTATATACTGAGGCAACAGCATAGTTCAGTCCATAGCAGCACAAAAGGTGGTCACCCCTACCCCTGTTCAAGAGAGTGAGTGTGGCCCCCAATTCCTCTGCAATTGGGGTGGAGAGTGGAGCAGGCATGTTGGTTGCCAGCCAGCTGGAAGCAGGAAAAGGTGCCAAATCAAACTTAGGTTCATAGCAAGGGCTGAGGTGAAAAGGGTCTTGGCAAAGGTGAGTTTTACATTGGGTTTATAAACTCTGTATCCTCCCAGGGAGGGGAAGGGGAAATGAATTGGGGTGGGGAGGACCAGATCAGCTGAGATGCTCTTCTGCCAAGCAATATTTTCACAGAGACTGGCCTCTGCCCTGCTTTCACTGTGGATAGGCACACTGGCTTGGGAATCTGTTGCTTCCTGATCAGGGAGGTATCAGTACACTCTAGGACTGCACGGTGCAATACAGTAGCCACTAGCCGCATGTGGTTATCTGAATTTAAACTGAAAATAGTTCAAATTTTTTTTAAAAAAATCAAAAGTTCAGTCTTCAGTCACACAAGCCACCATTATAGGTGCTCAGTTGCCACAAGTGACATGTGGCTTCTGAGTTCGACAGTAAAAATGTACATTTCCATCATCGCAGAAAGAGCTGTTGGGGTGTGCTGCTCTAGGATTGGATGATGACTCTGGAGGTACACCTCCCAGGTATCTCTGGGAATGCTTCCCTGAAAGCACTTGGGAAGACTTGATGTTCCTCAGGCAAGGTGGTCCAGGTTGTCCCCTGTGCTTTGTTCTCAGTATGGCAGTAAAATAGGTCAGCAGGGAAGTAGCGTGTTTCCCAAGTGCAGCTGATAACAGGTTTGCCCTCAGGGAAAACCTCCCACAAACCAACAAGAAATAGACTAACAATTTGGTAAAACAATGGGGGCAAGGATATGAATAGACAGTTCACAGAAAAGGACACCCAGAAAACTGATAACAATAATGCATGAAGGAGAGAAATACGGGGAGAGGGAAACTTTATAGTGTTCCCCTTTGTAGCATCTGAATTTCAGGCCAGGTGCATGGATGTAGTACTTATTTTCTAGTTACACTTTTTAAAAGGAGAAATTTTGGAGTTATTTAACTTATAAGATAAGAATTCTCTAGTAATGAGAATAGTTTTCCTTCTATTTCCTTTAGGTTTTAAGTTTAGATTTCTATATACTGCTCTAGGCCCATTTAACTCCATGACAGAGTGTCAAAGGAAACGATGTAATAAAAGATGGCTTTCATGGCAAGCAAGTTGATAAAGTTCTCCATTAGAACCTGAAGCAGATCTAATGTCTTGTCTTTTCTTGTTTAAGAACGGCCTGGGATGTTGGACCTCAAAGGCAAGGCCAAGTGGGATGCCTGGAATGAGCTGAAAGGTAATTGTTCTGATCAGTTTCCTTAGTTTGAAGCGCAGTAATGAAATCCTCTTTATTATGGAGTGCAAAGGGGTGAGGAGAGAAAACAAAGTAGATGAGGCACATGCTGGAAATCAGGCTGACCTGTGTCGGAATGGAAAAAAACTGGGCCACCTACTTTTTTTCCCTAAGACCATTTATACCTTTTCCAAAAGCATCATCTCTGAGCAGTGGTATCATCCGGAGAGGAGGAGCTGGGACCAGGTCCCTGAAAAACAGATTGGGAGGTGATGTAGTTGGCAAGGGCTTTATATATATATTCGGAATAAGGGGTGGTTTCGTGCCTGTACCTTCCTCTCCCCCACAAGGCCGGGCAGTGACCCCATAGCCCAAGCAGCCCTCCCCAGTTCCCTTCCAGCCAGAAAGGCACAAAAAAAGAAGGGAATGAGCTAATGCATGGCAAGGTTCTGGCAGCTCATAGGCTCAGTGAATGGAGCTATTATATGCTAAGCAACAGCAGCCAAGAAGTGTTTCAGCTCCGACTTAATCACGTGCCACCTGCGACAGCAAGACCCAAAAGTTGGCACCAAAGTGCCTGCCAGCTTTTGTGCTCTTGCTAGCTAGTTTCTGAATAAGCCCTCTGTCTTCCTGCAAATGAGAAACCTTTGAATTCAAAAAAGGCCAGAATACAATAAAAAGACTCCTACGATTTGCTAAGTAACTAGAACAGGAATGCCTGTCTGACTGTCCATTTTTCATTGAGCATTTCCATACCATACTCAGGCCCCATGCTTTCCAGTTGCTTTAGAACACGCTCTGATTCCCAGCAGGTGTCTCTCCTTCATGGCATCCAGGAAATTGGATTTTGCTCTCTCTCAGGGCTATAGTCAGTGTCCCTTGTACAGCAAGCAGCAAGAAGGCAAAGATTTGCCTTATTACCCTCCAAGAGCTAGCTGCTTTTGCTCAGAGTTCTCAAAATTTTTCTCATAGCTTCTTTCTGGGGAGAAGAGGGTGCCGGGCTTTGCTTTTTCACTGCCAGTTTAACAGCTCTGGGAAATAAGAGCTCAACAGAAATGCTTGAAAGGCCAAAGCCAACCATGAGAGTCAGCAGGACCAGTTAAGTTACCATGGCTCCCATGTTAGACTTTCCTGCCTGTCTAGAGGGCCCGACCTTTCTCCCGAGGCTCAGGCCACCCACTCACTCATGACAGTGGGGGTCTCACATGGCCAGCAGGCCAGTGACAGGCCTCAGGACAGCCCCGCACACAGTGGTTCAGTGCTTTATGGAGCATTCACTGTGGGCCCGGCTCCTCAAATACCTCAAGTGAAATCCTGGCCAGGTCTCTGAGATGCAGGTAGTAGGACCCTCGCTTCACAGGTGAGAAACTGAGCCTCAGCGTGTTAAACCAGGGCTGTCTGGGGCTCTAAAGCTGCTGCTTTTCTACCATGCTGCTTCTCTGACAAACAGTCCTGTTGATTCTTTACAGGAACTTCCAAGGAAGATGCCATGAAAGCTTACGTCAACAAAGTAGAAGAACTAAAGAAAAAATATGGAATATAGGGACTGGATTTGGCTGCCAGCCACGCATGTCATCTAAACTGATATCATGCCTTGTTTTTCTAATACCGTGGATGAAGTGAAATAACAGAAATAACCAGTTAACCTACTTCCTCAACGCTGTCCAGGGTATGGCTCTAACAGATGAGAGGCTGAAGTGGTTACTGACCTTGCTGAGTAGTTTTTATTTGTAGATCAATTAAAAGTGCATTTGGTACTTTAAGTCTTTGGCAATCTGGTTTCTTAAAATAATTTACTTTGTTCCAATCTCGCTTCCTCACTTTCTTTTTCTAAAGATTATGTCTGGGGGTGTTTGAGCTCACCCTCCGCTATATTCTGCGGGAGTGTAAGTAAGGCAGGTGGTCCTACCTCTTCTGGGCCTGGAGTGCACTCACCTCCCATGGGGAGGTAAAGGGTCTTTCCTACTTCCTTCTCCCTCCCAATTCCAACTGCACCCATCGGGCGGGCTGGCTGAGGCTTCAGTCTGCAGGTACTTACAGCCCTCTGTCAGAAACATTGCAGGCCTCCTGCACTGAGGAAGGCAGGGTTGATGAGTGTTTGAGGTTTGTCTCAGGCCTAACCAGTCCGTCGTTCCAGAGAAAATGAGCAAGGGCAGAAGCCCCAGTCAAGAACACAATGTGTGTCTGCGGTAGGGCATTCCCAGAGGCCCAGTGGAAGCTTGGCCCCGGGCAGCTGGGCCGCCAAAAGCCAGTGAGAGAGGGAGATCAGGAACCAGGGACGGCAAGGGGTTAGGCTGCAGAGAAGACCCTGGAGCTTGACCCTGGGGGATGTAGGTTGTTTAAGAAAGAAAATGAGACAGCTGTCAGACCCTCCTTGCCAGATGTTTTCCTTCAGTCATTTCCACAGTCCTGCAAGGGAGATAATACTTTTTGCATTTTTCAGGTGAGGATGCTGAGGCTGAAAGGAATTCAGGAGAAGCTCTCTGAGGCCAGGCAGCTTCCAGTTCTTTCCTCCAAAGCCTGTGCTCTGGTTTTAGACATAGTTCAGCCTCACACCGGAACCCTGAGGCCTGAGCATTACAGCAACTTGCCCAAGATCACTCGGCTGGTGAATAAACTAAGAACCAGCATTCTGAACATCTCCTTGTTCAGAAGCCTGGACTCCCCAAGGTGGCTTCTCACGCGTGACCAGATATAGTGGGAGAAACTGGAACAGCAAGAAGGGCAACTGTGGTATGGCTAGAGTGTGGTATCCCTTCAATGTAAACGGGCCTAGGTCGTGGAAAGTCTTAGTAACAAAGTTGTGAAGTACAGAATGTGACTATAGGTGATGAGGAGCCACTACATCAACAGCTGCTGAGAGCAGGGATTCCTCCAGTCCAGCCCAGCCCATCCATGGGAAACTAGGCCCAACAGCTCAGGTGTAGATGGAGTTTGTCCCAACAAAGCAAGGGGGTCAAGGTCCAAAACCCGGACATGCGGCCCAGGTGAGGTGACTTCCTGAGCAGCAGTGTCATTTATGTGGGATTAGTCTTTCCTGGGTGCTGATGTGACTGAGCACATAGGGGGCAGGGAGCTGACAGTCCCGTGCTCCTCCCACCCAGACTGCCGAGATCTCCAACCTCAGGCATGGATGAACGCCAAGGAGGCAGGAGGGAGCCATAGCCACTCACGGGACCCATATCTGGATCATCTTTGCTCAGTCACTGGCTGTTTCAGGAGTAAATCAAGGGAAAAACAAACACAAATGAAGTCCAAGACATGGTTCTTGTCCAAACAGACCTGGATCCAGGGTCAGGCCGAGCATATCCGCCCAGAGGGTGGCAGTGAGCATCAAATGAGGTTATGTGAGAAGCTTCTGGCATGAGTGGGTACCCAGTGTGTGGCGCCTTAGGAATTTTTCTCACACCAGCTTTCAAATCAACACTTGTCCCTGGCAGCATCCCTTGCAATATCTATGGGAGTCAAGGACCGAGTCCAGGAGCAAATTAATACTCATTTGGTAACACCAGAGAGGGTGTAGATAAGAGAAGCTTCTGCCCTATTTCTAGCTTGTGAAAGGCAGCCAGAGCCTGGTAGGCCTGTGCTCAGGCACCATCGCTGCTTCACTCTGGCTGGAATCAGAGAAAAATGAGCCTCTGCCTGGGGAAGCCCTGATAAAGGCAGTGCCGTCTGGTGCTGGGCAGTTAACACTGTGCTAAGACTGTATTATGACTAGAAGATAGTTCTCCCATGGCAGACGGGAGAGAATCACTGGGAGTGAAAAGCTTAGATCCAAGGCCCATCCGCCCACCGCTGGTGTGGCCTCTGATTAATGGCTGAGAACTTGAAGGGCCCCTCTCCCTCTCAGGTTCTTTGTTTGGTTCTCGAGGTTAATCCTGCAGTGCCTTGAAGTGGGCACTACCACTCACTGCTGTATAATGGGGATTACTGTGCTCATTATTCAAATGAAATTACAGTTGAGGCGATACGAGTGGATGCAAACCCAGGGCTCTCTGGTCAGGACGGCCCTGCTCATCCCCTTCTGTCACAGTCCTTCTCGTGACCACTGGCAGCCACTCAGTTCTGTATCTCCTCTGTCCATCAGATGAGGATGACCCCCATCTCATTGGGCTAGCATAAGATTCTCTGAAATCCCTTGCCTGCTGTATAAGTCCTTCCTGAAGAGTGGGTTGGAAAAGAAAGTCACATCTCCAAGGCTGAAGTGGGGCTCACATGAGCTGTACTTTTTAAGCACCTCAGGCCATTCGGAGGCTCTGCCAGGTTTGGGAGGGGCCTTCATCACTCACTGTAAAGTCGTGGTACCGGTTCCTCAGAAACTCATGGTGGTGTGATGTTCTGAGAACACGTCCCCAGCAGCCTTGGGGTATGTGCCGGCTCCTATGGCTCTGCAGATGTCCATGGACAGCCCCGGGGTATTTCACAGGATGTTACTCGGAAACACATGAGGCAATGGGGAGCAGGGTGGAACACAGCCTCACCCTCTCCTCTGTGACGTGCCCACAGCACCCTGTGGTACTTCTCACACCAATCTGGCTTTGGTGACAGACTTACCTGTGAATCCCACTTCAGTCTCTCAGGTACTAAATCATGTATCTTCTTGGAGCCACATTTCCTTCATCCAAAAAATGGGCTGATAAAATGAGTAAAGTGCTAAGCACAATACCTAGCAAACAGCAGCTTGCTAGCAACCTGGAGGTCTTTCCTAATGTGCATCTTCACACCTTGTATTCCCCTCCCCACCATCTGGACAAGTCCTGAGCTGGGGCCACTGAGTGCTGCTCCTCACCTTGACAGTGCTCCAATAATTTGGGGGTCCACCATGGAAGTAAATGTGGGTTGTCCTAGGGTGTTCTCCCTACAGCAAAGTAATTCCAGGATCCGAAAGCCTGGGAAGCAGCACTGTAGATCAGGGAGCAGACATCTTTTGGGACATGGAAAGGCCACTAAATTACAAGCCCACGTTACACAGACATGGGGCAAGTTATGTCACCTCTATAAGCCCCAGTTTCTTCATCAATAAAATGAGGCTGAGCAGAAGGTCATGTGTCCAGTGTAGATAGGAAGGAAAGTCACAGGAGCAGGAAGCAAAGGCCCTTGGGGTGCCTGGCTTGACAGAAGTCAGGCTGGGAAGTTGAGAGGGGGTGGTTTAAGCAGCCAGGTGCTTTAAAGTGCTTGAATTTAAATTACAGGTATTTGGAGTTGATGAGCCAAGAGAAATATCCAGAGGAGGTGAGCTGTAGTAGAGCTATGCCTTTGGGACCTGGGTCAGGGCAAGACAACACTCCTGCCTCTGGCAATTCCCATGGAAGAGATGCTCAGAAGTTCCCCTTATTTATTTGTGTGATTGCACAACACCTCTCTGTTTTGTTTTGTTTTTAAGATTTTATTGGGGACTTGGGGCAGGGGAACAGCGTTGGGGAATCAGAGAAGGGGAACAGACAAGTTGCTGTCCTTTTGTTCTTAAGTCTAGTTGTGGAGATTGTCACTTCACTAGCCCATGTTGGTATTATCATTGCACTCCTCCTGAGAGGCAGTCAGTCACCAGCCATTGAATAGCCACTCATGGCAGCTCATGGCAGCCCACTGCAGCAGGGGCTGCAGCCTACGCCATCACTGGTGACTCATGGCAGCCCAGCTCCGGGTCGAGCTGTTGTTCACCATCTTAGCTGTAGAAGGCGCAGCATCACTGGCCCTCATGTGGGATCCGAACTGGGGTCCTGCTGCTCAGAGCTGGCGTCCCAAGCCACCTCGTAACCAACGTGCCACTCGGCCGGCCCAACACCTCTCTTTTGAATGGACTTGGGATAGCTAAGAACAGACCAAAAAATAAGCAAAGCCCCTTCAGGACAAATGACTCAGGTGCCATCCTTGCCTTGATGGAGCTACAGACCACAAACCACAGTGCAGCAGAAGTACCCTGGGGTGCCCTCTCTGCACTATCCCCTGTTTTGCAACCCGCGCACTCCCCCACCCCCACCTTGGATACAACTAAACCCTTGGAAGACCAGGAATTGGTCAACCTACAGCTTTTTCTTATGTTTTATGATTTTTGCTAAGTATCCTTGCTAAGTAATGAATGAACATGAGTCGAGACTGCAAATATTTTCTTTTCTCTGTAGCTGTAAAGATAGCCTCATAAAGCCTTTCCGGGGAAATTGGCGAGATAGCAAACATAGCACAGGAGTCTGCACTTAGGGGCAGAGGGTAATCTCAGTAGCCTAAGGGTATGACTTCTGCGGCCCCAAAATGCCCTGCTATAGTGGGTTGAATTGTGTCCCCCAAAAAGATATGTCCAAATCCTAACACCCCACACACTATACCTGTGGATGTGACCTTATTTATAAATAGGATCTTTGCAGATGTAATTAACATAAGTGTCTCAAAAAAAGGTCATACTGAATTTAGGGTGGACCCTAATCCAATGACTGGTGTCCTTGTAAGAGAGAAGAGAGGGAGGTCTGAGGCACAAACACACACAGAGGAAAAGGCCAAATCAAGATGGAAGCAGAGATTGGACTTATGCAGCTATAAGCCAAGGAGGGCTGAGAGCTACCAGCAACAGCAGAAGCTCAGATAGAGGCATGGAATACATTCTCCTCAGTTCCCAGAAAGAACCAACCCTGCCAATACTTTGAATCTGGACTTCTGGCACCCAGAATTGTGGGAGAACAAATCTCTGTTGTTTTAAGTTACCCCATTTATGTGACTTGCTCTAAATATTCCTGCTGACCCCTGTATAACTGCCGGTGGGCTG